AAATGCTACATAGAAACTATGCAGACATTTATTACTACAGAAAATAAATTAATTAACAGAATCCAAAAAAAAATTACTACAGAAAAAACATACTAATACTCTAAAAGCACTTACGAATTAGAAATGACTAAAAATGTAATTTACATAAACAAATTTATTTAATAAAAATTTGTTCATGGTCAATGAATAAGCAAGAATATAAAATTAACTTACACTCAAACAATCTCAAACCTATTTGTTAAATTTTGTAAAAGAGCGATTGGAATCGATTCAAACCTTAATACTCTGTAATCATATTTATTAAAATTAATTTTTCATTACTTATATTCTATTATAGCATTATAAATGAAAATTGTATGTTCCAAAAATTCGTTATTCTAACTATAAGAAAAAAAAATTTAAAAAAATAGTTAAAGTTAGGTACCACACCAAAAAAAAAGTTAATGTACTATGTACCATGTTTTTGAGTATTTTTATATGTATCATGTTTTTAAGTATTTTTTTATCATTTATTGGCTAAAATTTATCAAATTTTGAGGTTAAAAGATTAAGTGTCTTTTTTCTTGATATTTTAATTATTCACTTACCTTTACACGTGCGACGCACGTGTGCATTGCTAGACGTTATCAAATTAGAGTCTAAGATCAAATATATTTTATATTCAAAAAATAATAATAGTTAGGTTTAATAAGAAATAAAATATAGATTAATTTTTTGACACCAAATTTATTTTTTAATTTAATTATACATAAAAATTATATTTTTATAGATTCAACAAAAAAAATATATTATTTAAATTATTCATGTGCAATGCAGGTCGTTCATTGCTAATTAAAATAAATACACCAGGCACAAGATCTTATCCAATTTATTGCTCAAGGGCCTGTTTTAGTTGTCAAAAAACAAAAAGGGGAAAACCTAAAGAAGGCCCTTATGCTTCAAAGTCTACGTGCTATCATAGGCGGATAAGGCTGTGTATCGACAAATAAAATTTCGGTACCGTACTAAAATTTTTCATCATTGAGGGTTTGTAGAGTAGAAATTATAAGTATTCTTGATCAATCACAATATAACATTTGGATATTAATAATCTGTTTAGTAGAAATGATAGAAAGTAGGATGAATAAAAAATATGAGGGATACACTTGTTATCCTTCATAGAAGGAAAGTAAGAATGATACATTTTTTTTCCTTCGTGTTTGGTAGGATGAATGGAAAATAAAAACGATTAAATTTTTTGTTTTTTTTTGTTCTTACTAAGATTCGGGGTGACAATCGAATTGTGTCATGTCAGATTCGTGTTTAGTCATTGCGGATTCGTGTCGAACATTAATTAAACCTAACTCAACTCATTTAACTAATCGTATTGTGTCGAGTTGACATGTTTATTTTCGTACTGTGTTCATATTTGTGTTTGTATTCGAATTGACCCATATAATTTATGAATAAAAAATTTAACGTTAATATTCTATATTCACTTAATTGAATTAATACTCATACTTTTTCTACAAACTAAAATTAACTTAAACAAATATAATAATAATAATAATAATAATAATAATAAATAAAAATATCTTTTTTATATAATAATATGTCTACGCTTAATAAATAGTTACAAATAATTAATATTTTATATCTATAATACTAGTTAAATATGTTAATTTAGTGCTACCATACAAACGAGAAAATAGAGAAAATATTTATTTTTAAATAAGCGGGTTGATGATGTCAATTTTGGGTCTGACGGATTGAACTGAATATGAGTCGTTTATATTTCATGTTCGTGTGTCAAGGCATTTTTGAGGTCGTGTTGAGTTATAATCAAGTTCATATCATAAAATTTGTGTCCAGTTCGAGTTGTGTTATTATGTTGAGTTGCAAATTTTCACCCCTAGCTAAGATGAAAAAAATAATTTTTTTATTTTTTATTTTTAATTTTATTTTTAATTTTTTTTAAAAAAAATATAAATACATATATGAAATTAATATATATATATATATATATATAGACAAATAAGATACATTTCAACCGGGGCGGCTTAACAGTGTTATAAAAAAAACTTGGGTTTTAGGGCCATATTTAAAGTAAGTCCCAAATTTTTAAATATCATAAATAGTCCTAGCTGATAAATATTTTCTTAATTGGATTGCATAATTTTGGAGTCTGGTCTTCCTATCTGATCAGAAAGTCGGGCACTACTTCAAATTCTGGAAAGTCCTCTGCATTACAGGCTTTTCATCTTCTGCAAAAAATTCTGGGGGAATTTTTGAGTCATCTTGTCGAGGATCTCTCTGCATTGCTCTTCTTCATTCTACATCTTCTCTCTGGTTCGAAAGGAGTCTGACATAGACTTTTCGTTTTTCCAGAGATATTCCTTGCAAAGGGATTCTTGATCTGGCTCCAGCGCTTCCTTTTGCCCCTTCAATTCCTTATCAGGCGTCTTATCAGATGCCTTATCAGGCTCATAGCATATCAATTTTGCCTATTCAGCTGCCTCTTATCAGATCGTCTCTGTGGTTAATCAAATTATTTTTCTCAACTTCTCATCAATTGCAGCTCCAAAGACTTGTCACACGTCTACTTAGCTTCAGCTCATCCCTTGAATTGGTCTAGCTCTCAGCTCTAGTTCTGCAGCTCACTTCTCTTGCTCAATTATGTCTAGCTGCTTCATTATTGCAAGCAGTTTTAATGAACCAGCCGGACCATTTAAGTCCTAGGCAGTTTACTTAGGTTATTTTAATTTTTCCACTTTTTGTACTAAGCATGCATTTTTGCCTTCTTTACTTTTAATTTCCTTCTTTCATGTATTTAAATTTCATTGAGAGGTAAGATACATACGTTATCCCTTGGTAGGTGTAATTTAATTTTTTAATTAATAAAATTTTTCTTGCACTATTGAGGTCCTCCTAAAAGTAAATAAATACAAGTCCAATCAAAAAAAAAATTAAGGTCTCACTTCAAGGAAGACCCATAATTTATAGGTGTACAATAATAGTCCAAATAAAAAACTTAAATTCATGCCTAAACAAAATATTTCAATTTAAATAGATTGACCCTATTAATTCAACCGTCAAATTAAAAGACCCTAAAATTTATTTTTTTAAATAAAAAAAAAAACCAAACGGTAAAAACTACTAAAAAATCTAATTTTAACACCCAAAAAAGTCAAGTTTAAATTTATTACCATAATTTTTTAATTATTTATTCTCTCTCTTACTATTAAGTTCAATCTAGTAACAAAAACTTGAATATAAAATTTTAATTAATATTTTTGTATTTAAAAAAATTAAAAATTAAATTTATTATTAATGTTAAAAATAAAAAGGCATCATGTATTGTTTCTGCCTTAGGCGTCAAAATGTCTCGGATTACCCCTGATTTTAATACAAATAATTAACTTTTTATTTACTTTCCTTTCGTTTTTTGGAGAAATTAATTTTAATGAATTAAAAGGAAAACTCATCTATTCACTTCTTTTATCTGTAATATTTTTTTTTAGTATCAAACATGATATTTTATCTATCATTCCAATTTTCTAGTAAAGAGGAGGAGCCTAGTCTGACCGAGGTGTTACTAGAGGTTTTTCTTTTTGGTCAAATACTATTACATACAAGCAAAACGATAAAATTTAAACTCAAAATTTTAAAATCTAACGACGAGAACGATAAAATACAAATCCGACCCCTAGCCCCGTCACTAAATGTTTGAACGTCAATAGCTTGACGAAAACAAGAATGACCCTTCCGACAAAGTCTCTTCTTTTAGTAAAGATAAGGTCCGCCGATGGAAAGTTTTTGCTTGCTTACCTAAGCAAATAAAAGATAATTAATTGGTAGTCAAAACAAAAAACGGAAAAGTAGAAGATAAACATGAATCGTTCAAGATAAACGTTATCCACCACAACTTGACATTACTAAATATTGGGTGTAATCTTGACATCACGTTATCACAATCGCATATAATTTTTAAAAAAAAATAAACTCCACTTAGTAGTTAATTTTAGACATTGAGTGATTACCAAATAATATGGAGGGGATGACTACTATAATATGTGACATCCACTTGTTTATTTGTTTTACTCTTATTAGATGATGACACCATGTGATAATATGACACGCAATATTTTCTCCACTTCCTTGGCCAAATCTCATTTCTGCTCCCTTAAAAAATGGTAAGAGAATAAATCTAATTTAGTTTAGATTGTATAATGTTGAGTTTATATCATATTCAAATTATATTATTGTGAATTTATTTTATTTGTATTTCATGTTTGTGGTATTTTTTGTGAAAACCATGAATCGAAAATTGCAAAGAGTAATAGTCTTCCTTTTTTTTTTTTAGTTTTATAGTCAGAGATGTTTAGACCCGCTTAGTTCGACTAATTCTCTATTTGATTCGATCAAAGACAAGTTATTCCTGTCAAGACTAAGATATTTATGAAGGATAAATTCTTTATGACCTGACATCAAGGAGTTATTCCAACAATCTCACATAAATTAATAATCTAATTCTCCTATATTCCAACAAAACCAACTAAAAAATTATTTAATTTTATTTCAGTTCCGATACTTGGCCGGAAAGTGTAAAAACACAGAAATTCAACACATTTTTCCATTAAGATACTTAATAAAATTTGTTTACTTTGCTAAAACTAACATTATTCACCCGATTTCTTAACTATGCCATTTTTACTGACACCTAATAAAATTTGTTCACTTTGTTCAAACTAGATTACTAGCCCAATCTCTTTACGAGTTATGTCACTTTTAACTCTAAATTGTATTGAATTCGTGTACATCAAAGTTGAAAATTAGGGGCCCATAAAACAGAGGGCACATTCCCTTTAAAATATACTATTTAAATATAATTTAGCGACCTAATGCGTTATAAAACCATTAAATGGCTAACAAATTCAAACCGATAATAGAGTATTATCAATCCCCATGACAGAGAGTAATTAAATTAATAAATTAAATTCAAATAACGGTACTCTTTCTTTTTGTATCAAATATGGTCCTTATGAAAGAAAATTTCTAGGTTGCCCACATCACAAGATAATAAAAAATTAAGAAAAACAAAACCTTATCTGTTCATTTTGTTTCTTGGACATGAAGCATATCTTTTATCCACATATAAACAAAGAAAAAAAGGTAACATAATTTATTCATATAGATCTGTAAGTGAGAAACAAGATTTGAATCCCTTAGGCTGCCTATTTCTTCTCTCCTGGAGTTTATTCAATTCCTCATCGTCTGCCTCCTTTGCAGAAGAGACTTGTACTTCTTGTTCATCTAGATTATCTCCTCTTTCTTCTTCTTCTTCTTCTTCTTCTTCTTCTTCATTCAAAGCCAAGAGAGGCATGGAAGTTGGGTTTTTCCAGCCATAGAAAGATGATTTCTTTGACCATTTGTAAGCTATCATTATCCTCCTCCTCTTGTTCAATGGGTTCTCTTCCTTCTCTACTTCTTTTACACTGCTAACATCTGATAAGTTTGCAAATGACTTCGATTTCCCAGAAAAGTAGTTTGACAAACCCCTCCTGCAAGATCAATAGTGCATACAAAATGAAACCAAATACACATACCATCTGACAAGAAAATCCATTCTTTTAAATGGGTACTAATCAATTTTAAGAATGAAATAACTTCTTCTCAGGATCCATCTCTCTCAGGTTTCAAATTTTGTCAATTTTGAACAAATTCAATCATAGGGAAGAAGAAAACAACGATCTGCTCTTAATTTGAAAGATAACCCAGTCTAATTAGAATTCAAAAATATATTAGTGCCTGATCCAGGATAGGTTTCTACCATGAGTAAATTTTTGATTTTTTCTTAATTAATCCTAATTACTGCCATTAATTAGGGAATGGAGATGTGTGTATACAATACACAATATGCTGAAAAAGAAAAATAATTATATGTTTCCATAATCAAAATAGCTGCTATCTATGCATTGAGACTTACTAGTGAGTTCTTAGGAATTTCATTATCAATCAGAAGAACCTAGTAATGGATCATTGAACTTAAATGAAACTGATCAAATTTAATTTAGAAAAGATATATATATATATATATATATATATTCGATCATCCGCCATTAAATGTGTTGCTATTAAATGCGTTGAACCTTGTGGATTTCATTATCAATTGAAAGAACCTAATAATGGATAATTTAACATAAACGAAATTGTTAGAATTTCATTAGGAGTGTGTAAGCACAAATTTTCAGAAATAATTTCTATAAATAAAATTTTTGGGAACTACTTCAAGCACATACAACAAATATTGATCCATTCATCGACATCTATATATATAAAACTTATGAACCAACAAATCAAGAAGTAATTCAAATTTTCGTTGAGATTAACAAAACATCGGTAACTTTGGATCAAAAAAAACAAAACACAGTAACTCATATAAAATTAAAGAAGAGGAAGAAGACTCACTTGAAGGGAAGGGAATCTTCTAGAGAACCCAAAGACACGAGGCTTCCACTTAACTTACTCTCCACCTCTTCCCCCTCTTCGCCATCACTCGGATCGCCGATCGACGAAGTTTCAGACGATCCCTCCTCGGCGACAGGTGTGTGAAATCCCTTTTCTGCCCCTTCGTCACCGTCCCTCTTAATATACCCGGGAAGACATGGAACCCCAACCAATTCCGTCTGCTTCTCCTGCGCCGGCGCACCGCCGCTAACGTACACCGGCTGCGACGAGACGTCAAGACCCAGAGGGGGGCCCAGGGAAGAATCTCTACTCTTGAGCACTAGAGACATAGTGGTACGGTTTGTGGGGTGTTGTGCTCTACCCTTCTTCACGGCCTCTTCGTCGTCTTCTTCTCTTCGGCTTCCAAAGCGGTTTTATTGTCATCAATTGAGGAAACAGAGGGTTGAAATGGAAGGTGCGCACGTTAAGGGTTGTATGGGTGTATGCTAAGAGCAGAAGTTTAGATATGGAAGGTAGACAAAGATAGAGATCTCGACATCCATTTCCTAGAGAGAGAAAGTGGTCTGATGTAGTGAAATAAAGTGAAAAAAAATAAAGATAAAAACCAGAACAAAGCGTATAATTATATGTAAATAGTATTATGGTTGAAATATATATCTGCGGAGAGAGAAAATTAACTTCCGCCGGCGGGGAGATCGGGAACCCAAAGGTTGTGACGCGGTTTGACACGTTCACATAGGGGCTTATGTGGCAGAGACAGCGACCATTAAAATTATTAAACTTAATCCATTATCTTTGGACACGTAATCAAACTGTAATAGGAGACTAAATCAATAAATTAAATTATAGTTAAAATACTAATTATAAATAAAATTATTTTTTTTATTTTTATTTTTGCTACTTTTATCAACTTGCGAATTACAACTTGATTTGAAACCGCATTACAGGGTATTCTATTGAATGAAATATTTTTTTTTATTACAAAGTAGAGAGAATTAAATATACGCTCCTATACTTCTTCACCTGGAGATACTATTTTTCATATTTTTATAGGACTAAATGCATCTTTTTTTTTATTTCTACTTTTATAGGATACCAAATGATTTAAATAATCTCGATAACAAATTAATAAATTTTGATCAATTTTAATCATCAACCATCAATTTATTGCGTTCTATTGTAGATCATAGAAAAGTACAAAAAAAAAAATAGAACAAATTCAACCAACACCACTGAATTTAGGTCACAGTTCAATGTCATCTTTCCGAATTTCTGAAATATTATTGCACACCTTTATAGTTCATATATATATTTCACTAACTATCCTAACGTCTATGCTTTATAATAAAAAACAAATAGGAGAATTACGCTCAGTCCTCCTGAAATTTGTCAGTTATATATTCAGACCTCCTGATATTTGAAATAGTATACACATCTTTCTTGAAGTTTGTAAGCGTGTAACACTTAAACTCTTACCATTAGTATATCTGTTAGTAAATTATACTTAAACCCTCTAAAATTCGTAGACATATAATACTTAGATCTCAAGTCTAAAATGGTATACTTAGATAAAAAATATTCTAATTAAATATAGAATATCAAATATTTTAAATTTTATAACCAAAATTCATGTTCTATTTTATCATTTATTGAAATAAAATTAAAAATAAAAATCTCATTTGTTTCTTAAAAAATCTTATTTAGCATACAATTATATTATCTATTGAAATAAAATTAAAAAAAAATCAAATAATGGATCTAAATTATTCATAATAGAACATGAATTTTACAACCAAAATTCATGTTCATTTATGTCATTTATTGAAATAAAATCAAAAATTAAAATTTAATTTAAAAAAAATCATAATTAATATACAAATATACTATCTATTAGAATAAAATCGAAAAATCAAAAAAGGGGTCAAACTATAATTGACACAATATCTTCTAACTTTAATTGAGATAATTTGGTAGTTTAATTTGGTTGTTTAAACGACCAAATTAAATTCCAAAAGATAATATAATTATATACTAATTGCGATTTTTTAAGAAAAAATTAGATTTTTTTTTTTGATTTTATTTCTATAAATGTCAAAATAGAATATGAATATGACAAATAAGAGGTCAAGCTATGACGCCTCTAAAATTAGGGGTCCTTTATTAACTATTGATCACTTATCAACCTATGAAAGTACCCATGATCGTCATACAACCCGACGTCACAATAATAACATCTCCTTAAATGGGGTCTTAACCCACAAGTGTAGCCTTTACACATCAAATCATAGTCATTAATATCCCATATTACCTCGAGCACAAGGAATCAATGCCCAAGAGTATAGTAAAACATTTCAAAAATTTGAAGTTTAAAGAAAACTTACCAGTAGAAGAAGTCCCTGCTCTATTGGTGGTAGAAGTTGCCTATTGGCTCACATCTACCGGTAGAAAAATAAAAAGTTCTACCGGTAGGTGTGCCCAGTTTTGTTTGTTTTATTCATTTTCGATTTTCAATTCATTCTATATCAACCTAACAAATGTATAATGAAATTTTCACATAAAACATAGTTGGTATAGATTCGATTACAATCAATTTCATATATTTACATGCCTAAAACTAAATAACTATAATAGTTTTACAAAAGCACAAGATAAAGTCACATTTCGGTTTTTCTTCATTCTTGAAGCCCCGAATGAGAGCCGTTCACCGGTGTATATCCCGAACCTATAATATTTTCCCATAAAGGTTGAGTCACGCCCAATAGAGTATTTCCTAAAGAGGTTACTCTCCAACCTATAGGCATATGAAATGTTCACATGCATAATTCAATAAGCAACAACATTTCCAATCAAGAATATGCAATTCAAAATTCAAAATCACCATGTCATGTCATTATATGAAATGAAACTCACTCATACACTTCAACCTAAGACTTCACCCGCTCCCTCAACACATGCAAATGTCATGCGTGTTGCTTTGGGCTTTTCAAGCCCTGCCATTGATGTTACACATCCAATGACTATTAAATTCCCTAGGTCTTTCTTGGGGTGGGTATTTATGGACTTCCACCAATGGTCACCTAGCCGACACGGCATTTATAGACATCCACCAATGACTTCACATATGTTGACACACTTTATAGACTTGATATCAACGGAGTGCGTATCCGAAGTAATCGGGTCTTGCACCCGGGGGATAGTCTAGCCCTTCTTACTAACCCTGACCTAATTTTCAATGCAAACCATGCAACTCAGCCGGGCCTTGGCCTAACTTTCCCAAGCCCACACATCATTCACCAAGAGTGGTGTTTGATGACAACCATGCACACACACACACACTCATGCCTAATGTCCATGAATGCGATGCCTCCGTGCAAATGTAATGCACAATTGCAACATTATAATTATGTTCAATATGTTATGAGTGTCATATGAATCATATCCACCACATTTCAACATATACCATGTCCAATTATATCATACGCATATAATTATCATAAATCATCTTAATGTCAATACATCACCAAATGTATATCAACATTATACTCAACAATAATTTTTAAGCATGTTACCATATAATCTCATGCAAATAACACACTTAATTCTCCAAGGCATAATATAAACACATAGCATGCCCACATATCACAATTTTTCAAGATATTACAAGTTAGCAATTTCTAAATACCAATTCATGCTAGAATTGATTTAATCCAATTTCAATACTCATTTCATCAATTAACAACAATAGGCAAGTGTTATACACCTCTAACACCTTACCCATTCCATATAATCACCATAGGTTGAAAATAAATCTAATTAGGGAAAAAACCTACCTCTTAAAGCTTAAAACACCTTGTAGGAACATTCAAGAATCCCAATCAAGCCCAAACCTTTGATTTCTCCAAGCCCCATTTTTGGAACTTCACCCAAATCAGTACTTTTTGTTAGGTTATGTAGCCTTCGACAAAAAGAACAACTTTTATTTTTGGCTTGAGTCGATTCGACCAACGAAACTCCATAGATCGTAGAAAGAATGTGGAACTTCCCTCTCTTATTTTAATTTTTCAAAAAATCTGACGGGTATGGGGAGAAATCTGATTTTTCTCTCCTATTTATACCCTTTTATTGCTTGATCCTCATTTCGACACACTTTCTCCTTTCTCGGGTTCGGTTTTGACCAGAATAAATTAAATTTCATCCCCGTTCGAGTTCAAAATATTTTTTTTACTAGATTTAATTATTATTCAATTTTTGGAATTTAATTCTATGTCTCATTTTTAGGTCATGTGACACCCGATCACCTCGTAAAACGTAAAAAATTTGACTGTCTCAAAATTTAACAAAAATTGATTGGATAATTAGATTTCGCGAGATGAATCCAATGGTGAGGTCCGTTTCATCATTCGAGCTCTAGAAAAATTTAGATTTTCAACCCATACCATAGTGACAATTTACTATTTTACCTTTTTTCATAAAAATTTAAATTTACTCGGATTTTACATTCTTCTCCTCCAAAAAAAAGAATTTCATCCCCAAAATTCACACACACTCGTGTACACTTAACCGCGTGCATATGTAACAAGTAATAAGATACCTCCATTCTCGAATAAGAATGGATAACTAGTATGCATAGTGTCGTCACGTTCCCATGTCGCCTTCTCCATACCTCGGTGTTGCCATAGTACCTTCACCAACCTCATGGTCTTGTCTCGCAAAACTTGCTCTCGGCTATCTATAATGTGCACCGGTCCTTTCTCGAAGATTTTGTCTGCATTAACAATCAATTCACCCCAATCCACCACATGTGTTGGATCTAGAGTGCACTTCCGGAGCATAGAGACATGAAATACCGCATGAACACCTGATAAACTTGATGGTAACGCTAACCTGTAAGCAACTATACCAAACCTCTCGAATACCTTGAGGGGTCCAATTTACCTCGGCAATAGCTTTTCTTGATTAACCATTAAAATTGTTATTTTATTATATTTAATGATTGATTAATTACATATTATTTGTGATTAAATGTGTTAAATTCCTTGATTATCTAGTTTGATACTTTTTCTAGTTATTTGGTTTATTTTACAAGTAAATTGGTAGATTTAAAATAATAATGGATAATGCAAGTAAAGCAATCACTAGAGGAAGAATCATAATTGATAAGAATTGAAGAGTCAAGATTGAGATAGGAATATTTGAAGATATAACAACAATTTAATCCTTATAAGAGTCCAAATTAGAAAAAAACTCATTTAAAGTTGAATTTAGAAAGTTTCTTAGAAGATAAGGATTTGACACGTCTTCAGTATTTTGATCATAACTTTTGACTCTGATATCCGATTGACTTGATTTTTTTGGGGATTGGAAAGAAGACTTCAAGGGCTACAAAAGTGTTTTCATGAAAATTTTGTGATTCAGCCTCTAAATATGCGAAATCTAAGTTCGAAGTCTAGACAAATTTTGTACCCACACCCCAAGATTTTATGCACGGGATTTAATATTAAAAGACTTCTGTTTAGAAAGAAATTCCTTCCAAGCCAACCTTATATCTTCTACCTATACTTAGGATTTATTTTTAGTGTAAATAAGGGTTCTTATCTAGGATTTTGATAATTATTATTATTGTTTCATCTTTTATTTTCTAGTTTTTGTTCAAAGTTTTATGGCTTGCTAAAGCCCAAC